CGAAGGTGAAATAATAAGTAAGGTTATGGACTGTGCTGAAATGGACAAATTAACAAAAGAGATCCAGGGAAAAGAAGAAACAGAATACTACCAGATATGGAATAAATGGTATAGGTGGATGGAGAAAAGAAACAAGGATCAATGAAGGAAGACAACAAAACCCAAAAATAGAAGTTAAGGAGAATAACAACATATATATGTATCAAGTGGTTTAAACTTACTAGAGGTAATCAGCCAATTTAGCAGACAGAGGAGTAAGATAAGAGGGTTAAGAATGGTGAAATACAAATGAAATAAAATAGAAGGGGAAATAATATAAGGTGAGAGATATCGATTGGCAATTGCTATTAGAAAGAACAGGAAGCTCCTGTTCGTATTGTATTGTGTAAATGTGGTGTACGTCTAAGTTTTGTGTATGTGTATTTTATATGTTTGTAAATAAAATTTAAAACTATTTTTAAAAAATGTCAGTAAGTAAACAATCAAGCTCAAAGAGAATCAAGAACTCCACAATTCAACCCTGAAGTATAAATATTTTTTTCTATTAGAACATCAGGTTACGGACCAGATATAATCTGAGGTCCCATGATAAACATTTATGAATATTGGATTCATATTTTCTTGTATAAAACCTGAAAGTGAAATTGTCTTTACAAATAGCATGATGGTCTAAGAACTATTTTTTAAACCTTGTAAAATTCTTAATCTTTCATTCTAATCCATTTCTTATTGTTTTAGGTTTCCTGGGAATCTCCTTCTATTTTAAATGGAGAAATTTTGAGCTATGAGATCCACATGCCGAACCCTCGAATCACTATAAATAACAATTTGACAACTTCAATGAGCCATGTAGTAACCAACCTGATTCCTTTCACAAATTACTCGGTCACCATAGAAGCTTGTACAGGAGGTGGAGATTACATTGGAGGGTGCACCAAGAGTTTGCCAACATATATGGTTACACTTCCAACATTTCCCCAAAATATCAGTTCTGTGACTGTGACCCCAATTAATGAGTCAGTCATTACTGTGTATTGGCAACCACCATCTAAACCCAATGGACATCACATAAGGTAATGGAAAGAACAATATATAAGAGTTCACCAAAAACTTAACTTTGTATATAAATTTTATTTAATCAAAACATGTTAGACTACCTAGAACTGCCTGAAATTATTAGAACTCAACATAAACTCAGATTGGATTGGGACAATTAAAATTAGTTTTTGACTCATTTGATAGGATATACTTCTCCCATATGTCCTTTCCCAAACTGAAATCAGACACAAAATTGTCTTTCCACCATGCATTCCAGGGTCTCTTTCAAGTACCAAAAAGAATTTTAACTGCATTCTTGATTGACAGGTCTGCCCTCAAATGAGAGTGACCCTTATAATCAGACAACTATCAGTTATGCCAATCAAAATGGGGGAGGAGGGAGAAGAGGGGGCATAGAAATTGATATGCACTCTTAATTTAAGCATTTATTTCCTGTTTTCCATCTTCCATCCATAGATAAGAAGTTTATGGCTTCTTATCTACCTGATTGGTTTAAGAACTTTATTTGCTTTTAGGGAAATATGAGTGACTTAATCTGTCATATTTATCCCTGCCCTCAATCCCTGACTGCATTCAGAAAGGATGCAACCTTTCCTTTTGCTGAAAAACCCATCAACTGATCTGCCTGAAATTTGCCACAGATACTCCTTGCTAGAAAATCCATTTTTACTATATATTCTGCCTTCCAAACCTATATTAAATAGCATTAAATTTACATAATTTTAATAAAACATTGCACCCATTATCATTAAATTTAGCACATTTCATTTCTTAAAAGTATCTACTTTTCTTATAGATTCTGGTGAAAAATGTAAAATGCTATAGGCATTTAACACAACTTTTAAAGGTGTGTAGCTCAAGCCCCCCCCCCAACATAATTACTTTATGGAATTTAGATAACCTTTTAAAACTTCCTTTTGAAATTGATGCTGTCCTTATAAAAAGATTAGAGGCATTTACTATTTTTCCAACTAATCCATAATAATTATTTATTTTTCTAAATAATGGGATTGTATACTCCATTTTCATCCAATTTATGCTTCAAAGAATGGGATTTCTCAGAATGAGTCAAAATGGCCTCTACTTCTGAAGCCAGGAACCATACTTAATATGGGTTGGCAATTCTGTTATTAACCTAAAATTATTCAGATGCAAGAAGGGATTCTTAATTAGTTTTGCTTAGTACATAACCAGCAAATTACTAAAGACTCATTATTAAGAATTCCTTCTGGACTCACCTATAAAATCTTATGCATTTACTGTACATTGGTGAGAGGATTAATGTAATATTAACTTGTACTAACAAATTTTCTCTTCTTCATGATCTCTTAGTATGTCATAGGGATTAAGAAGTCGCATTATAAATAAGAAGATATTGATTCATATTCTTTTTTAGTTATTGAAGCTCATTTTTGGCCAGGCATTTATTCTCAACCCTACACTGCTCCTAAAGTATAAAGATAAAATAGGATAAAAGAAAAGGGAATCCCATGTAAGGTGTTTTGAGCTCATGGAGGGAAGCCAGTTTACAACAGTGTCAAAAAATTATGAACTGGAATAAATATTTTGGCAGAATGTGATGCCAGGAGAAATTAATAGAGCTCTCCCCCCATCCCCAAGATACTATTTCATCGTCAAATTACTTGTGTATCTAATCACACTTGGCCAATAAGGCTATTCTGTTCTGTTCTGTTCTGTTCTATTCTATTCTATTCTATTCTATCTTCTCCTATCTTATCACATAATATTGGGTATATTGAAAATGTGATGATTAGGTGATAAAATGAAAATACTGAAGAGGTTATGTTGGGGAGACAGCAGAATATTTGACTGGTATTACATTTTCAATTTTCCCTAGTGATTATCTGAGGAATTAAAGATTACTTACAAAAAGAAACAAACACTGTATAAAATACTGTATTTGAAAATTTCAGAGAGTGGGTTGTTATTTTTTTTCTTTTGTTCATTCCAACCAAAGCACTTGAAACCCAAACTACTTGTATATATCAGTTAACCTAAGGTGAATAATATGTACAGCTATAACAAAAATACATTTTTGTGAATTTCTATTCATGCCTCAGTACACATAGAAATATCAAAAGGAAAAGATGCAAATGAAAGAAATGAATTAAAAGTACACTAGTGTTGCACCTCTCAGATTGGGATACCTCTCAGAATATAATTCTCCTAAGGAATCTTCAATTGATAAATTTGGCAAAGTCTTCTGAAGGCTGTCATTACAAATATATCTTAGGACATTGTTTTAATAAAAATATATATTCATAGTATCTAAACATTGAGGTTCTTCACATGGCAGTTACTCTGTATTCAAAATGGGTCTTAAAATATCTTGAGAACAATGGTCATCATAAGGCATTGTTCCTACCAGGAACCTTGAATCCATTTTTTAAAAAGTTGCCTGGGATTGTCCATCTTTTCTCTAAGACAGGGGTGGGGAACTATGGCCCTTTTATGACCAGGGGACTTCAAATCTCAGAATTCCTCAGCCAGTATTCCTGAGAATAGCTGGCTCAGGAATTCTGGGAGTTGAAGTCCACTGGTCATAAAGGAACCATAGTTCCCCACCCCTGCTCTAAGCAGTCTCTCTTGAAAAGATAGTATGTGCTGTTCCTCCCAAGGTCATGAGCTCCCAAGGGCTTGACAGCTGAAATTTCTAGTCACTTCAAGCAACTTTCTTTTTTTTTTCTTTGTTTCTTTCCTTTTTAAAAGAGAGAAACCTCATGGGAAAAAGACTCTTGCCTGAGAAATACTTTTTTAAAGAATTTTTTTTAAAACTCAAGTATAAAATTTGGAAATGTTAAGGAGCAATAGCAGTAGACTTATATACCGCTTCATAGGCCTTTCAGGCCTCTCTAAGCGGTTTACAGAGAGTCAGCATATTGCCCCCAACAATCTGGGTCCTCATTTTACCCACCTCGGAAGGATGGAAGGCTGAGTCAACCCTGAGCCGGTGAGATTTGAACCGCTGACCTGCTGATCTAGCAGTAGCCTGCAGTGCTGCATTTAACCACTGCGCCACCTTGGCTCTAATATTTAGTCTGCTTTAGAGTAGACCTAATTATAAACCTGTGCAAATCATTCAGATTTGAATTAGACTGATCCTTCCATCTCAAAGTAGACTGAGTCCTAAAATTAATTAATTATGTTATTTGATTAAATCAGAATTCTGGAAAAAAATAATTCCTACATTTTATTTGCTGTTCCTATTTATTTTCTATTTTTCTGGGGCCATTGAATGTGTTGAGACCTCATTGGTTTTCTTTCTTCTCAGATAAACATACATGCACATACATTTGTAAACTTTTAGCTTCTCAAGTCAGTTGAAACCACTTTCTTCTTCATGGGAAGTGACATTTTGATGGCACAAATCTTCACTTCTGAACAATAGTCACACAAGGAAAAATGAAATGCAGGGCAAAGAGAATTCTAATACATTTACAAATAAATTGAGGAAAATCAGTTTTTTAAAGCAGCTGATATAAAGACTGTTTATCATAGTCTCCTGACCCAGTAATTATTTCACAACTTTCAAGGGTAAATCTTTATTATTAAATCAAATCAAATCAGAGTAGTTACACAGCAGATAAAGTTTATGCTAGAAAAAAAAACTTGTTACGTTTTCATATAGTTTCTTTCTTTTTTCTATATAAAACAAGTTTGCCTGTTCAACCCCCTGTCAAATTATCCTAAAAAGGTATGCAAACATTTCATCAAACACTCTATTATGTAGTCAGATATTTTTTCTTAATAAATGAACTGCTTTAAAAAACCCTCATCCATTCTGAAACTAATTACACAAGTTATGAAAAGTGTCAAATTCTAAAATATTAAAAAAACAAGATTACAGCTGTAAAAAGAAAATAACGTGTGACTTTTGAAAGCAACCTTTTTTTGTCATAACATTAGTTAAGATAATCCCACCATTCTGCTTGTCTTTTGTGTTAGATATGAGCTCCTGAGACGTAAAATCCAGCAGCCACTTCCATCAAATCCCCCTGAAGATTTAAATCTCTGGGACAATATTTACTCAGGAACTCAGTGGTTTTATGAAGATAAGGGTCTTAGCAGGTAAGATTACTAAAACTATAAAAACAAATGCTGGCATTTTGTATAGCCCGTATTTAATAGTTCAAAGCGTTCCTTGCATCTCCGTGTTGCAAACATGTTAATTATGTAATAGAATATTTTTTGTCATCTCCTTTGGCATGAGCCTTTATTAACACTTTTTGTTTGGTTTGGTTACCTACTCTTCTGCTCTGCACAATTTTGTTTTGCTTTAAAAAAAATGTTCAGGAAAGTAAGAAGTGAACTGCTGGAATATTGAGTGAGTGGTTTTACTTATTTCATTAAAGTACACAGCATCCAGCATCCTTCCAATTCTATTCTATTGCTAGCTTGTTCATGGGTTTGAGAAATATTTATGGAGGAGATTTGGAGTATATAACTATGATGTGTTGCCCTAGAAACCTTGGACTCTTTTAGTTGTGGCTTTTTCTTAAGAAAACATTTTTGTTTAAGTAAAGCATTATCTAGGGCTTTATTGTCCTTGTTTTTTTACAAACCTTCCTCCACCTACCTGTCTTTGTCCTATTCTAAGATGGCCCATTCTATAACAAATCATCAACCCCAACCCATCAATATATTCTTCTGTTGATCTCTTGGACGTCTAGTCCTATTATGCATAACCAGAAAATCTTCATTTAGTGAAAAATATGTTACATTTCTTTCACTCCTTGGAGCATGCTTTTGGAGTCTGTATTTATGATGGGCATGTTTAAACCTGTAGGCCGGGTTCATGTATTTTGCTAAACAACTGTTGGTTTAATCATTGTTCATTGAATAAACCACATTCTTAAAAACTGATTTACTCATTATGAAAACTGATTTCACATATTACTAAGCCAAAATCAAACTACTTTGTGGCATTGTGTAAAAACAATAATTGTCTATTCTGTGTTTTTTGACTGAATTCTATAAATTCTTTTGAATCTAAGCCTTTTGTAAAAAGATTTTTCAATAAACCAAACACAGTGGCTTGGATAACTGTCTTTTCCTTGCCAGAGAAGTTCATACATCATGTTAAGCTAGCTTTATTGTGGTTTGTTGACAAATGCAGAAATATTGTCCTGAACTTTTCTTGCTCTTATGAATTTCTTGTAATTGCCGTGCCTGAATATTGTTCTACACATTTTCTTAAAGGCAAGGAATTTTTGAAAACTAGAGTTCAGGATACATTTGAAATATCTGGAGTTGGGAATAAAATTAATGAATCAGGATTTAACTTTGAAGTAAGTGGGAAATAGCGCCTCCAAGTAGTGTTTTATAAGAGGTTAAAAAAACATTCTGGAACTAGTGAGAGCTATGTAGGCTACAAGAGAAAGAAAAAAAAGATAAAAGAACGAAAATTAAATTGGATCATAAATTAAGCTGCTTTTTTAAAAAAAAAATGGGCTTGCAATTGCCATAACTGAACATAGTTACCAAAATTTATTGAACTGAAAAGAAACATTCAGCAGAGCTGCTATTTGACTCAAAAATTCACAAATTTGTGAGTCAAATAGCAGCTTTGCTGAATGTTTCTTCTAATGTAGTTTTTGGTTAGAATCTGAAGTAAAGTCAATATTTAAACTGAATGCTTCTAATGATTTTTCCCTTTTTAATGATACAAATCATATCCTTTAGGAATACAACATATGCATATAAGCTGAAAGTACATAATGAAGTAGGATATACGTCAAGTGAAGAAGTGGTTGTTACAACATTAGCAGGATTTTCAGAGAAAAGCACTAATGTTGCTGCAAAGCCTCTTAACCACACAGCTATAGAAGTGAAATGGACTACTCCAAGTAAGTGTTCTTCTTGATTATATCCATCATCTAACATTAAACAACTGGCTTTCAATTATATACAAAGAGTGTTGTTTCTCTTTGCTTAATAGCTGACTCCCCAGTGTCTGGTTTTTAAAAGTTTTGCACACTAGAGTGATGCGAAAATTCTATTAGAGGCATTGCATCGATAAAGCAGAGCTATGAATCCAGGAAGAACCCCAATTTATGAATATTTCTGCATGGAAAAGCATGATCCCATGCAGAACCAAAGATGAAATATGCCCATCATCAGAAGGCTTCTGACTTCAAAGCTATTTAAGTTTGCTAGGATTGAACCTAGATCAGGGGTACCTAAATCTTTTGCCATCACACTTCACTTTAGTGTAATCTTCATTTACAAACCTCCTCTAAAAATCCAAACACCAAAATGAACACTAATCTACAAAGAAATTTTAGAAAGGTGGATTTATTGTAACAATGTACCTAAAAGATTCTCCACATCTGCCCTGGACTCTGTCTGCACTTCCCAAAAGTTTTCTATACTCTGTCTGCACTTTACAGTTTGGAAAGCCCTTTCCTAGATCTATTCATCCTCATCCAGACCCTAACAGTTTTCTGGGTGTGTTATAGAATCTTGGCTACATCTTTTGTCTGACCTGAATATGAAATATATCAACACTGATCACACCTAACTTTATATCAGCAAGAAACCTCATCCAAATGTCTCCCCTTCCCTCTCCCAATCTTGCTGAAGGACATCCACAAAGTGATCAATATAAACTCAGTTCCATAGCCAAGTCTACTCTTAGACCAAAAAAATGTCCAAATAATTTATTTCTTCTATAGCTGCAGACTAACTATAGTTACAGACTAATCTATAGCTACAGACTTCCATTGACTGGTCTTTTGAGGCTGCAGCTGTTGTTCTGAATTTTCTAGATATCTGCCATGTTGCCTTGCCTTCATTGCCATGCTGTTTTGTAAGTTCCTGCCTTCTTATCAGGAACTGGGTTTCTTAAAAGCTTCAGAAAGGCCAGCATTGGGTTGACCACTTGCTAATGCCAGGGACCTTATGCCAAGGCCTCTGGGCTGCTGTAAATTTGTCAGTGCCAGGACAGCAATCACTTTTCCTTAACCTGGGATACAATCAGGAGTTTTGGCAATGTCCTTTGTTACCAACTACATCTCTTGTCACAATCAGATGCTCTTCCACCTAATTCTTTTCTGGTGTTTAATTTTTTTTCTTATCTTCTTTCTGATTACATGAATCTTTCCCAAAAGAGTTAAGGACAGGTACCTTAAAGGGAAAAGAGGAAATAAGGGAGCATAGTAGTTGCAACTCATTCTTCATTCCACAGCTAGCAGTAGGAACTTTCTCAGAAATTTATTTCTCTTATCATTGTTCTTCTTGTTGAGATCATAATATACCGAAGAAGGGGAAGCCATATGTTAGAAGAAACTTCATCCTTCTTTGGTAAAGTTGAATCATGTGTATAAATATATGTGGTACAGTCTATTAAGAATATAAGATTTTTTTCCAGAAAATGGGAAACTCACAAAAAGAACAGTAGCAATGTCTGCCCAGCAGCAACAAAATATTTACTGCCTTCAATACTGAAGATAATCTATAGCCATGCTTACAATTTGTCATTTATTCTTGGTCTTCTTAAGAATTGTAAAGAAATTCAAATTTCTGGTCAACTGTGTATCTCATGGTAGCAACTTCCACTAATTAACTGTGGTGTCCTAAGGATTTCATTTTATCGGTCTTGAATTTCTTGTCTTTCAGGTTATTCAAGTGTTTTTAGCAGGGGAGATAACGTTCTCCAAACATTGCAGCCTTTTTCCCAAAGAGTTTTCTGGATTTTTTAATCTCCACCTTTTTTTATTCTACAACATTCTTTGTGAGGTGATTAATTAAGAAAATTTGGGTTAGTCAACATTTGCTTGTGATTCTGGATGTGATTCACAAAGTGAAACCGCATAAGAAGTTCTAAGCAGACAGTACATCAATTCAAGCCTCTTTGAGGTTGTCATATTATTTTCAAATGCCAGCATTTCTGTACAGCCTGATCTTCCTTTCCAGAAGAGTTATGGATTTTCTGTATATGCAAATATACACATTTGTGCTATGTCATCTTGAGAGGAACATATCCATTTAATCCAGATTACCTGTCCATCAAAGCAGTAGGTTAATTTTTCAATATGTACATGCAAATCTGTCTGTAAGCACTTACTAGTGACTCTTGGCAAATAGAGGTTCCACTAAAATTTATATTTATAATTGGATGCCTGAAGTAAGCATGCTTATAAAAACTGACAAACCTAATAGATCTGAAGCAGGCTGCTGAAGTTTCATTACTTTAGTAATTCAAACCTCTGACCATCTAGATAAAGGTAATGCAATCTGGCTTCATTTTCATTCTTACTGCACAAATTTCCTAGATACCTGTTTATGAATGCAAAGGTTAAACATCAAGTGAGGGTCATTAGAGCAAACCTTTATTTATTCTTTCATTGCTTGATATGCTTCATTCCAAGCAAATAAGCAATCTCCCTGCCTCCAAATGTTTTTATTTTGTCACAGATCTGGGGGGAAATCCCCCCCCCATCCCACTAATCATTTGAAAACAACTTTCTTTTATGTCTTTGTTGCTGGAAGGTTCAGAGGTGAAAGATAGAGCAGGAGTTTTGGAAACAGAGGGTTTGCTAAAATTAAGTTACAGAAATAAAATAAAATAGAAACAGAAGCTTCATTCTGATGACTTATCTGGAAATATCAATTCATAGATTGTTAAATTTGAGATTGTGCCTGTAAGTTTCTCCCCCCCCCCCAACTCCCCTTTGCTTTTTAAAGCATTCATTTGAAGTTCTAAACAAGCTATGTAAGATTAACGGTTATGTGTTGTGTTAAAATAAGAGGGAGTCAAACTATTCTCCAAGGCACCTGAGGGTAGAACAAGAAGAAGTGGGTGGAAACTAATCAAGGAGAGAAGCAATTTAGAACTAAGGATAAATTTTCTGACAGTTAGAACAATTAATCAGTGGAACAGCTTGCCTCCAGAAGTTGTGAATGCCCCAACACTGGAAGTCTTTAAGAAGATGTTGGATAGCCATTTGTCTGAAACGGTATAGGGTTTCCTGCCTAGGCAGGGGGTTGGACTAGAAGACCTCCAAGGTCCCTTCCAACTCTGCTATTGTATTAAGTAACTGTATTAAAAGCAATAGTTCTGCAATCTTCGCATTGTGAACTTTTAAAACATATTTCTGATCTTAGAAATTCAAGATGTCCATTCATTCACATGCAGATACCTTCCAATAAAGAAGATAAAGATTTTCTCAAATCAGGCTTGTTTCTTAGTAACTTCATCAACCTTGCAGTACTGAATACTGAAGGGGTTTGCCATTGCTTTCTTCCAGGATATTTTCCAGCTTCTCATTCTAGCCCATCAAATTGGAATTCCCTAATTGTTTGTTACAAGTACCATACAGAACATTTTCCAACATCTCAAACCTAGCTGACACCCTAGAATAGTGATTTTCTTTCCTAAAGTCCAGTGCTGCTTAGTTTCCAAGCCCAACTGATGGTTTTTGTCCTGATATAACTAGAGTGTCGTATACATTTTCCCAGAAAATTCACCCCAAGAGATCATACGTATTATGATCCCAGTCCTTGATTCTTGAATCTGGTATTCAACATAGTCTCTAATAGTCACCTGGGCATCCACATTTAGCTTGAAATAGATATTGTATTCTCCATCCTTCCAGTGTGTTTAATATTAACTGCCATTATATGGGTATCTAATGGTACTTGAATTCTGAAGCACTGAGATATGGACATGGTAAAGGATTTGCGAAAAAAACTTCTTCTTTTCCTTTATAAAATGACCCTGGAAGCAAAGCTTCCTGATCATAAAGCGTAATTTTCAAGATATTCTTCTAGACTCAGAAAGAATATTTTTGGGACCCTGCCTTTATTGTTTAAAAACTTTGTCTATAGTATTGTAAGGAGAGGGAAAACCCTGTTGCATTTCTCCTCGTACTCTTATGTCTAGAATAGATTTTGTACCACTCTATTTAAACTGATGCCTTTAAAATATGCTGTTGGATAAATGATTCAAAATACCTTGGACTACAAGAAGAATAAATCATTCAATATTACATGAAGGAAAGCAAAAATGTTCATTGGTAGTACTAATGATGAAGTTAAACTTTAAACATTTTAGACACATAATGCAAAGGCAAGACTCATTGGAAAAGACCCGGGAAAATCAAAGACAATACTGTAGAAAAGAGGTCGATAAAAGACAAGGTGGAGCGATTCCAGATAATACAAGTGTAATTTTAAAAGAGCTCAAAGAATTTATCAACAGACAATCCTGGTGAAATGAGATTCATCGGGTTAGGAAGAGTCAGAAGGGACTGAACAATAAGATTTGCCTACAAAGCAATTTCCCCTATAGAATATTTATATCATCAGTACAGAGTTTATCACTTAGTGAATATCTTTGAACTGCACCCTTTACATATAACTTTGCACTTCTAACATCCTTGGAGTCATTTTTATGTCAAGCTGTGTGATTATTATTTCTCCATTCATTTCCATAACCAGATTTTTTATTCATGAAACAGCCTTACAAGATGTTGAAGGAAGTATTGAATATTATTTACTTTCCTGGAATGACACTGGCCAAATAAACTCCAAAAAGATCCCCACAAGTGAAAATAGTGCTGTTATTGATGAATTATATCCAAATACACACTATCAGATTTTGCTTCAAGTTTTCAGTGGACTTCACAGCATCACAAGTGAACCTGTGCAAGTGATTACACCAGATGTAGGTAGGTTGACTCTTGGTTTCGACTTAAAAACTGAAAATTGATTAACTGTTTTTATGATAGTTGAAATCTGTCATTGTTCCATTATGAAAATAAGAGTGGGTTTTTTTTAATGCTGTGAAGTCGGATGCTTGTGACATGACAGTCAACTGTTTGACCAGAAATGAAAGATGTAAATTCAACCACTCAGAGTGTTTCCCTGACATATTTCCAAACCAGTTGGCAAGCTGGAGGGAGGGAAGAGTGGAAAAAGCAACTTGTGAATTTCAAATGCTTTTGGAATAGCTTTTCTAATCTTTTTGGCTTTGTAAAATCTCATTATAAACATTATAATATCATTATCCCAGAAGCAAGTGTTCCAGGTCATTAGCAAAGTACTTTAAGTCAGGATTGCATTTTCTTGGCAAAGCCAAAGTTCATCCCCCTTTTTATTTATAAAATGGAGCCTAGTGGAAGTACAATTTTTCAACTGGTAAAGATGGATTTACCCAGATACAAATAGTTCCATTACATAGCTATTTATGACAAGCTTAAATAATCTGTGTAATTTAATGCTAAGAAAGATGGGAGTTATTTTGTTTTTTAAAAAGGTAATGCTTCATCATTATCTGTGGTAATCATCAAAAGCATTTAATATTAATTTAATACACATTCAAGTTATGATACTAATAAAAGCTATAGGGAGATGTCACCCTTAGAAGATAACTTGGTGTGTGTGTGTGTGTGTGTGTGTGTGTGTGTGTAGTCGAAACATGATACTATACTGAATAATTGCAAATGAGGTTGCACAGTTAAATAAATAATCACAATCCTCTAGTCAAACTTATAGTAAAGCAAAATTAAGGCCAGGCTGGGGATACAAAGGTTTTTACCATCCCCTTTTCCCACAGTCTCTGAGCTTAAAACAAGTGGATTTAGAAAACAGTGCAAACATTTTAACAAACTAGCAGATAAGTAGCAGAGGCTTTCCTAAATCTAAATTCTAATGTGTATTTGGTTAAACACGTGTTTTTACAATGGCAGATGGAGTTTATTCTCTTTCCTCTATTTCTAGAGCCAGAGGGCTTGTTCCCCCCAGAGATTGTCATCATCAATAGTACAGCTGTACGTGTCATTTTGGCATCACCTTCAAACTCAAATGGTGTTGTCACAGAATATTCTATTTACGTAAATAACCGATATGAGACCAGAATGAAGGTGCCCGGATCTTTCATTTTAGGAGATTTGTCTCCATTCACTCTTTATGACATACAGGTTGGAATATTTCTTTTTTCTTGTATATAGTTTCATGTCAGTGCCTCTATAGATGTACAGATATTAACACAATCCATATATCATTTTGAGTACAGTCATCTAAATGGCATATGTTTGTATACTGTATGTGATATATGAAACTTTGATAATTCATGGAATAATTAGGAATATGTAAAACATATAAATAATAGTCAATTAATATTGCTAATACTGCATATATGCTATATGTGTGTCACACATCTATGTGAATCTGTGCTACCTTACTGATAATTGAGTTTTTGCAAATGATTAAAATGTTCAAAGATTTTTACAGTCTAGTTTGCAGCTTACTAAAGAGAGATACCAAAGGATATCCTTTGAACAGAAACTGTGTTCCAGTGTTAGAAGAATAATTAAAACAATGGAACATATTATTCTATATTGCTGCTTCTGTGCAAGTTCTTCTCAAGAATTATTATCTCCATTTTTGATTAAATATCCAGAATATCCTGGTCATTCTGGCTTGTTTTATCTTCAGTTGTTAAGATCAGATCAATCTGATTTTATTTCCTTGATGACAGTCAAGTACTGTTTTATACTTTGTATCATACACCATAATATTTCTTCTAATGCTTTGAGATATTTTGGAGCAATTATAGTTTTCGTTCTTTATCCTAATTAATTGTGATTTTCATGTTTTATCTACTGGTTTAGTGAGTGAGTGAGCTTTAAAAATATATAATTATAAATAGGATGAGGTATCTTTAACAATCTCTTATGTTCAGAAGATAAATTGAAAATGCTACTAAAAATTAAAACAAAATAGTTTAATGTTAAAAAATAAACCTGTATTATGAATACATGCAAATATATTAATGCCTCAAACTATATGAATATGGGACAAATTTGTTTTATTTGTATTTGTATTTTATTTATTTATTTATTTATTTATTTTTATTTATTTGTATTGCAATTTTGCAATACAAAATTTTCTAAATTATTAGAAAAAATGCACGAATGAAAGATTAATAGATACATGTGCCATCTGGGTAAATATGCACAAAGGTGTATTGATAAAGCTACCAAATGCATTTATCAGTAACAGTGTATAAAATATATACATTAGAAGGACTATGTAAATAGATATATGTGGGTGCATGAACACATATATAGTCCCTCTTTTAAAATTACCAGGGTTAAATTTCCTTTCCTCCTGTGATGCTGAACTTATATATATTACAGAGATCCAACTCCTACTGATTAAAACAAAATAGCAATTGTTTTAGAAACATCAGGCATGCATAAAACATGAACTACCAGAAATAATGATATTGCATTCGTAGCCTTTTATCATGTTCCCCTACCTCCCCTTCTTCTCTGGAATAGGATGATCTTAGCCAAGAAATCCCAGTCTTTTAAAAATACAATTAATATTTAAACCCTTTGGTTTTTTTTTCTCCTTCTCCTTCTCTTTAGGCTTCCTCAGAAACTTGCAGGTTTTATGAATATTTGTGAAGAAAAGGCATACAAATACATTTCTATAATGGGTTTGATTTCATTTGTTCAAAATGCTGCTTTAATTGCAACTTTCCTATTTTATTTTGCCTCACTCAGATACTAGCTTTCTTTGAATGATGTATGGGGACCCCGTAACAGTAATCATGTATACTTTGTCCTACGATTTGCATCCATTTGCAACATGCAATAAATAAATGTCACACAAAGGCACACTATAACGGATTTCCACATTCCAGCCCCTTTTATTAAAAAAAATAAAAACCCAAAACCACTCCCTATGAATATACATATAACTTTCTAGTTTCCATATGGATACATACTTGTCTTTCTTCTACCGTAGTATAAATTCCAAGAACTTTTAATAGTTTTCAGACTTCAGGATTTATTATTGATGCCTTATATATTAATCAGCTAAGTTTTTTTTAAGCTTCTCATACTTCAGGATTTGTGCCAATGTCTGTAGCACTGAAATATCAGGTAAAATCCAAAGATTTAATTGTTGATTTTCTTTCCCTCCACTTTTTTTTGGCCTTATTACATTTCCTATCAAATCTTCAGCTTCCTAAAGTTATAATTAAATGGATGTCTGTCTTGCTTTTTGATGTCATGTGTAGACATCTGTCAATTCGTACCCAGGGCATATTGAATGACCTTTTTTGTTATTGTTGATGCAAAGGTGACTTTATTCGTCTTTCTTTGGATCTATTTAAAGCACTATAAACTCAGGAAGTCATATTTTGACTTTCATCTTCAGAGTTCATCAAACATTAATACAAAGGTTCATTATTTCTATTTTGGGACAGGAGAGGAAAGGAAGCTGATAGACTTACAAAGGTGAAGTGGCAACATTCTGGGTGTCCCTATCCCAAACCTATTAATCTAAGTCTATTATTACTATTTTTGTAACTCACATTGAAAAACATACCGTATCCTCATCTTGGGTGTGTTGATAATGCAAAAGATAACTCTGAGAGGAAGTTAAATTCACTTGTTGAAAAGAATGAAAATTCTCCATGTATGAGGAACACTTGGATCATGCTCAATACAGTTAGGATAGGTTATAACAATTTAAAAGGTTTCTAGACAGTCCTATGGCTTGGTCTATCATTCTGTTATGAATACTAGCTTAATCATGGGATAACTTAGCTAAAGAAATCCTATACTTTTTCAATGAAGTTTAAATACAAATAAATTTAAATGGCATGCATTATTTTGCTTAGATACTGTATTGCACTAAAATTGTTTCCCTAATATATCTTAGTGGCTGACTGGCATCAGATGCCATGGGTTATCAGTGTCAAACTCCTGAAGAGGGAATACCATTTGAATAAGATAATTATCTAAATTTACATATTGTGATTTTCTTGATACCTTGTGTTGAGTTTCGTGCTAGCTGAGTAAGTATTTGAACCTGCTCATTTATAAAGGAGAAAAAGGGCTATTCTGCCAACGTAGCAGTTCAAAAGCATGTTAAAAAATGCAAGTAGAAAAATAGGGACCACTTTGGTGGGAAGGTAACAGCGCTCCATGCACCTTTGGCGTTTAATCATGCTGGCCACAAGACCACAGAGATGTCTTTGGACAGCACTGGCTCTTCATCTTAAAAATGGAGATGAGCCCCTTGAGCCAGAAACAGCTAGCACTCATGTGTGGGGGAACCTTTACCTTTAAGGAGCTTTACTCCTGGTTAGCTGTACCTGGTTTTATATAGGTCTGTTTCATTTTGCTACTAGGGAGATGCCCAACTGATTAAACTATAGCTCACTGGTACTTACTGAGGTATAACACATAGGTAGGTATTCCTTAAAATGGTTCATTTTGTGGGGAAAAAAATCATTAACACATTCTTCTGCTATGAAGTGCTTCTGTTGGAAATTTTTAAAAAAGTATTTATTCTTAGATGTTCCTATAATCCACAGGCTAACCATTGTTGATTAATGTTTTTTTAATTTACAGGTTTTGTCCATTTTCCTGATTTGTATTATTTTCCTTTTGTGCTCACCATTCAAAATAATTTCCCTTCTCACCATTATATTAAATTTAGCTTTGCTACTATTTTGATTTCAAATTTTGAACGAAGAAAAATCCCCATTTTGATACTTGCTATTCTAGGTTGAATCCTGCAGAAGGAATGTTTGTGTGAGAAGTAATGGAACCCAAATCAGAACTGCAGAAGATGTGCCAAAAGACTTATTGCCACCATGGATCGATGTCCTTGGTTCAAGGTATTAAAATGTACTTGCCTTGTTTTCTGCCTTAATTCATAAAGACTCAGTGGTGCTAAAAGTCATTATATTAGCGTAAGTTGAGCTATAAGATAAATGCTTATTTCCATATGAATATAAGGAAGGAAGGTTACAATGTGTATGTTTGTCTATCTGTCTTCCTATTTTACATCTTGTCTTCCACACTAGACTTTGTTTTAATCCAATGTATTTTTGATACTTCATTTCCCGCTGTAAAGAAAGTCATCCTGAAGCTGCCTGTATGCTACATGTATGCATTACCATTCTTCTGTGTCTCTATACAGAAACAATCTCAAATCTCACATAGAGTTTAGCTTGGCAAGAAGGCCATGATTTCATTAGCCTGAAGATATTGGAAGAAAAGGAGAAGTCATAGAGGCATTACTGGTGAATATAGGAAGATTCCCAAAGCAATATTTATAGTGAAGGACTGAGAAACATGTGAATCAGTCCTGTGTCAAATTCGTATTGATTGAATTATATCATGAAGCAACTTATCTGACTTTGTTGCAAATATTGAGTGAGAAGGTTCATCAGTTTATGTATCCAAATCTCCATTATTTTCTTTTCCAAATGAGAAACTGATCAGACTTAAACATTAAAGGAAGTCATGTCAACCTTTCATCTGTATTTCTCCTTTCTATTACATTCCACTCCTCCTATTAAATCAGTATGACAAGGAAGGATCTTCAATTCCTCCCCCCCCAGTTTTGCTTCGCCTTTGTCTTTGGGCTTTTGTGGTTACTCCCACCATATTAGCCTGATTAGAATAATAATTCATAATATTAAAAAGGCAATAAGTGTAAAAGAAATTGTTTATCTGTATGCGCTTACTATAGAAGATATGGTTCTATATTTTTTCTTCCATTATTATGGGAAATTCGTTTTTCATAGTGACAAATGTAATCATTCTTTTCCTAAAAGGATGCATGAGTGCCAACATAGAGATTATACAGCCATTGCCAAGGATGTATCAAAATTATGGCAACAATAAGTCTCTTGCGTATATATTATTGTTAATCAGATTTTATTACACTACTGGCAGAAACTGGCACTTGGTCTACTTCTTCAAGAAAGAAAGAGACCTGTATTTTTCTGAATAACAACATTTTAACATCTAAATCTTTGGAAATATGCCTATAGGATATATTTACTCCAAAAATCTTCTAAGGAAGCTTCAGTTGGTCTTTGTTTTATTTCAGTTTTTGCATTTGTTCTTAAAAATTATAATTACAAAGATTGCAATTATAATAAACACACACAAACACACACAAACATACACACACATGTACTTATGCATGTCTTTGAGGTGGAATACTAGCTAAGATATCAAAACACGCAAATATAAAACAGTCAGAAATCCCTTCTTGTTTGATCATCTGTTCAGTAGAATGTGCCTTTTTTCATTGCCTCCCCTTACATGTCATATTATCATCAGCTGTTCTCATGTCCTAAGAGAATACTAACTACTGATCGATTGCCTGGACATGTCTGAGTGTGGCCTACATATGCCCCAGGTACTTCATTTATTTGCCACAGTGGATTTGCTAGAGTGGAATTTAATCAATAGTTAATTCATTAATTCTGGTCCTCAAGAATGTAAGGCCTTGTGCTGTAAAAAAAGAAGTAGCTGGCTGGTTTTAACTGTGATTGAAATGTGACAATCACTGCCGTTGACAGCTTCAGCAAGTACTGGCATGCATATGAGTTTTCTACTTCATCCTCTGTTAAGGAAACAAATTCAAGAAGAAAATAGCAGATTAAATAAATAGGAAGATACTGTAATCGGTATCTGCCAATAAAGAGATTATTTGGTTTCTAGCAGACTCCTATAAGCAACGCAATGCATATTCCACAAATGTTTGTAGCAGTTCTTCAACAAATTGACCTTGCTTTTTAGAAATTCCTTAACAGATCAAATCTTTATTTGGGATCAGAAAAAGCTTTGCCACTTTAGGGGAATACTACAGAACCATACAAAAATAATTGCACTCACTAAACATTATGTAGTCTTAACAGATCAGTGATGGATTCCTACAGGTTTGGACTGATTTGGCCAAACTGGTAGCAGTTTGGCAGCCTGGGTTGCTAGAATCAGCAGTGACCCAGCCTGCCACGCCGCCAAACTGGTTCTCTCGGCGGCGCCATAGGTGCCACCATCTTGTTTTTTAGCTTCTGCGCATTTGCAGAAAAAAATATTGAACTGTGCATGCGCGCATCAAGGGCATCAAGCACACGCACATGAAGCGTGGCCATGAGCGAAACGGCAGTAGTGCCCACCTCTGTAACAGACTGCATATCAGATCTGTTACAACAGAAAGTTTAGTTTCCCCTATTAGGCTAGCAATTATCTGGTGTCAAAATATTTTTTGTGGGCACAGCTATTATCAGTTGCTATTTGTTAAAATGAATTCAGTGGCTGAGAGATAGGGATCCAGCTCAGTTATATCTGAAGTTATATCTGGAGCTCCTTCATGCCTCTTTATATGAAGTAAAAGGAAATGGCAAATGGTAAAGAAAATGTCAATTTGCAAAAAGTGGAAGTTGTATTTTTTTAGACCAATATGGGTGCCTAACTAAGATCTAATTTGGTGTGGTGGTTAAAGCATTAGTCTAGAAACCAGGGGGCCAGTCTCATGGTTAGACACACATGCACTCCCTCATCCCCTCCCTCCCTCTCGCTCCCCTCTCTCTTTTGCAGAATCTTTTTGAGGCAAATCCCAAAAGACAACACTGACTTGAAGGCACCAAAAAAAGAAAAAAGAAAAAAACAACCCAACCTTGAAATTAGGCTATTTTGGTGTTATAGTATTTGAAGGAATGAAAATGAATTCCTCCTTTGCTCCCATTTATCTGGGATTCTAAGAGGTCCTTTTACATTTGCTAAGAAAACAATAGAAGACCTTGAAAACAAGGTGACGCAGGCAAAGTGGGTGCACAAAGGCATAAAGTGTCTTGTAACACCCTTTGATTGCCTACATAAAGACATGGTTTTGGGGAGGAAGAGAAGGGAGACAGGCAGTCCTGCCCACTTGTCATCTTCCTCATATAGAGAATTTACAGGACTTAGAAGCTGACTTAAGAAAATTACAAGTCCTAAGCATAATTACGTAGAAGGCAGAACAAAATGAATCCCTCCTTTCCCTCCCATTTATTTGGGAATCTAAAAGTGAATTCAATAGGATTTAACACACAGGAACCATATGAATATGTTTCCTTTGACTGCAATCCAGAACAGACCATCTATTAATTAGTTTCCTTGTCACAGAGAAACCAAAAAGCAGGACCCCAAAATTCTCTTCCTATTTTCAACCCGATTACCTGACTTATGCACATTTACACAGTAATCTGAACACAACAGATCCTTTACCAGCATAACAGAAGATTCCTCATACATCCCTCCGTAGAAAGTCAATTCAGTGTGACTTCCTGCAGACCACACATTTATAGATTTATGCTTGTTGAGGTCAGATTTCCATCATGTCATTCTGAATGGGAAAGAGAGAGTAGTCTGTGAGTTTATATGCAAAAGTAAAAATAATTCATTATATAATGGCTACCATATTTTACAAGTAACTAACTTTAATCAGATATTAATTCAATTAATGGCATGCTTTTTCTTGGCTCTGCCCCTTTTTTTGAGTTTGACCTCTGCAAATATATATATATATATATGTGTGTGTGTGTGTGTGTGTGTGTGTGTGTGTGTATACAGACTCAAATGAATATGTTGATATGTCACATGCATGGATAGAAGTAGGGAAGAGAAAAGGTTTCTAGGATTGAGTTTAGTGGGATTCTAAATGTCCCATTGTCAAGGTAAAGAAGCTGGGCAATACACTGATTTTTTTTTTGTTTCAGTTTATTATAACTCAATTTAATCTTTCTTTGGGTAGGTCACCTTAAATCCAGGGTTGTCTTCCTTCTGGGAAATGCATCAGTCAGAAAATCGCATAAACACCTTCAACATTCATCTGCTATTAAATGATTTACTGTTTTCTTAAGTGAATTAAGATAGAGGAAAGTAGATTTATTTGTAAACCCAAGTGTCAAAACACATCTGTTAGGTATATAACATGCAACTGACATGTACATATACATTGCAAGTATTTGCTCAAACTAATTTCATTTAAAATAAGCATACAAAGTTCTGATCTGTCCCCATCTTCTCCATTCTCCTGGTGAACCTTCAAAAGATCATACATTTCATGGCAGCATACTGAGGGTTAAGATCAGGGGTATCAAACTTGTGGCCCATAGGCTGGATGTGTCACGTGCTGGTCACGCCCACCACCAATTTAGAGATTGGGGGAAGTCACAATATGTCACATGATGACAATGTGACATCACAAATTTGACATCCCTGGTTAAGATAGTTATTTCTTGATATTCTATATTCTTGCTGCTCATGGTGATAGTAATAGTAGACATGGGCACATCCTCACTATAGGTCCCACCACACCCAGTCTCATGGGAGGCGAAATGGGAGGAGCCCTTGATATTCTATCAAGAAATTGATAGGACCTATTCTATTCTGATTTATTAAACCTTATAAAATATATATTTGTGCCCATTTCAACTATTGCCTAAATAATGCTGTAACACTGGGAAATTACAGATGCAATTTTCCTCCTCTAATTATATAGATTAAATATTCTGGATTTTGGTGTCAATTATATGTTTATCAAACACTGAATACACTGAATGGGATAGATAATTATCATGATTAGATCAATACTTACAGTCATATTAGTTTATCACAAACTTTATATACTATATTTCCATTTAAATGTGTTGAAATTCATTTATGGGAGACCATAAATTCTAATCCAGTTTTAAGCATGAAACCAATTGGGTAACTCTGAGTTAATTCCTTTATTTCAACCATAGAAAGAAACAGTGACTAATTAACTTCACAAACATTGCCAAGAAAACAGCATAGACATCTCCATGCAATCATTAGGAATCAAGACTGACTCCAATGGGGGAGGGAGGGAGGGAGGGAGGGAGGGAGGGAGGGAGGGATTGAAAGTGAGAGAGAGAAAGAATCATAGTTAATTATGGTTAGTCAAACCATAACTTAGAGTGAGATGTGAACATAAGCATTAGTTTAGAGATGTACAGTCACATATTGCTGAACAGCATGACTAAATTCATGTATGACTGCTTTTGAGGAGAGTTTGATTTCATCTTAATTCCATTTTGTGCAAAAACATTTTAACAAAATCAGTATGCTGTGCAAAATGTCAAAGAACTTGATACAAAATACTTGTCATTTACCACTAGCTTATTTAGTTGCAAAATAATACACATTGAGATGGTATTTCAAACTGTAGATTCATTTTTAACGTTTCGTATCCCTTTCTTTGTTCCTTTGTTTCTTCTCTTTCAATCTTTTGTTCTTTCTTTTTATATGTTTGTCAGTAAATCATTGATATGTAAGAGGTATTTTTTCCTTTGAGTTGAATATGCAGTGAATATAAAATAGACTTCTGCAGACTGTGGCATTAATTCAGTAAGTCAGATGAAGACTTCAGAATAATAATAGTGACTCTACAAGTAACCTGTGAAGTTATCCCTTCACAGTTGACATCAATTCTTCCACTACATATTGTTATTGCTAGGTGTTCCTCTGTTTATACCTCAGGTAGTGAAATAGTTCACTGTGTTATTTTGATTCTGTAAGATGCCATTTTATTATCTCAGCTGCTGTTTCTGAACATAAGTATCTAACTTTAAATGAATGCTAATTTACAGTGTCACAAAGAATTCTGTCAGGTACTATGTACTTGGATTATATTACTTTCTAAAACGATCCATCCAAAGGTAGGTGATGTTATGTTTCCCTCACAGCAGAAAAGATATAAGGATTTACTAAATCTTAAACAGGCAAATGGAACTTAAAGAAAGTCATCTTTAGCTCATCAATGTTCACATTGTAATGTTGAAGGCTGCCTTTAATGAACTTATTGTGGACAGATTGTAGCTCCATTTATTAATCTTCTAGCCATAAAGTTGTAGGATTATCTTATTTTTAATATTTATCCTAATGCGCCATTCCAATTCTGGGTGGGAATTCTGCCAGTTGTAGTGCCAAACATCTGAAGCAAATTAGGTAGAAGTCTGACCTTGAGTAATTGCATGAGATCCTATTGTTGGTGTTCTTGTTTCCATTTCCATTCAGTATTTTTATCCAGAGGGCATTCAAGGTATGTACAAGGGGAGGGAATTTTAACCTTTTTACTTCAGCTTCTTCACTTCTAAAATCATCCTTTTTTTCTGCTACTGGCAACAAAAAGGATTTAAGACAATGAAGGAGAAGAGTGAGAAACAGTTTTCTTGAACAAAGAATCTGCAGATAAAAAGATTTAAGCCTCCTTTCCCTTGTGTGGTGGTTTAGTTCAATTCCTGGCTTTACTTGTTTTTAGAGTAAATTCAGAGGTTAACTGCATTCTGTATCATTAACATTATATGCAGTTCTCCCATGAAATATCTGCAGTATGATATTAGAAGAAAGGAACTATTTAATTATTTACATTTCTACTCAGGCATCTTTTGAGGAATATATTTAATGCATGTTTTGAAGACACAGAACTGGATGAATATTCAGATCTTTACAATGAATCTTGAAATACAGCACTTATATTTCAGAACATTTAAATTACACTGATAACCAATCAGAGTCTATGTCTCCCATAAATTTGTGTTGTGAACGATCTTTTTGTGACCCTTCCCCAACTGAGTTATTCTCTCCCAAGCTGAGAGAAATTTGGTAAAGAAAAGGGAGGAAATACAAAGAGTAGGAAGAAAGTATTGGTTGAGGAATTACAAATAGGTAGAAGAAAGTGTTGGTTTTTTTAAAAGAAAAAGAATACATAAGTGTATCGATAACAATATATAAAATATTTTTTAACTGCTGTAGTTTGTGCTACTTTTTAAAATTCCTGGGCCTTTCCAAATCTATTTCCAGGTCCTAGAATTTTGATCCAACTTTCACTTTTTAAATTCCATGATAAATTTCTTTGACAATAAAAAGTAGATATTGCCAAGATAAATAGACTATGCTGAATATTTAAATTGTTTCTAAAACTCAAGGCAAGGTAGCCCAGACCTTTTGCATCTTTGGAAAGATTTTGGCTGTTATCTATTAATTCTTAAATACACCTAAATTTAACTGGGTTAAATGTAACTACAAGCCTATTCATCACCTACTACGTCTCATGATTTTTCCTTGGTCTGGATTTATGCTCCTTATTGTCAATACCGTACACATTTCTGCTACTATAATTCTGATTTCATTGCCCAACAGATAGACTATGTAGGATGGCCAAGTTCATCAGGAATGTAGTTGTATGTACCCCAAATGCCAGCACTAAGTCTAATGTTTAATGCCTTTCCTGTAGTGGGAAAATGTGAGATGGCTGAAACGTTGCTGAAAAGCAAGGTTCTACATTTAATCAAGAAAAACAAAATGCACAGATACAGTATAGGTGGTACCTTGCTCAATAGTAGTAACTGTGAGAGGGATCTTGGAATCCTAGTAGACAACCATTTAAATATGAGCCAGCAGTGTGCAGCAGCTGCCAAAAAAAGCTAACAAAGTTCTAGGCTACATAAACAGAGTGATAGAATCAAGATCATGTGAAGTGTTAATACCACTTTATAATGCCTTGATAAAACCCCACTTGGAATACTGCATTCAGTTTTGGTCGCCATGATGTAAAAAAGATGTGGAGACTCTAGAAAGAGTGCAGAGAAGAGCAACAAAGATGATTAGGGGACTGGAGGCTAAAACATATGAGGAATGATTGCAGGAACTGAGTATGTCTAGTTTAATGAAAAGAAGGACTAGGGGAGACATGATAGCAGTGTTCCAATATCTCAGGGGTTGCCACAAAGAAGAGGGAGTCTAACTATTCTCCAAAGCACCTGAGGGCAGAACAAGAAGCAATGGGTGGAAACTAATCAAGGAGAGAAGCAACTTAAAACTGAGGAGAAATTTCCTGACAGTTAGAACAATTAATCAGTGGAACAGCTTGCCTCCAGAAGTTGTGAATGCCCCAACACTGGAAGTCTTTAAGAAGATGTTGGATAACCATTTGTCTGAAATGATATGGGGTTTCCTGTCTAGGCAGGGGGTTGGACTATAAGACCTCCAAGGTCCCTTCCAACTCTGCTATTGTATTATTGTATTAAACCATTGAGATGATCTTACCTGCAGATGATCAGGTAACTTGTGCAGTTGAAAGTTTTTCCAATACTTTCTCTAAAGAAGTTGAAATCACAAGACAATTGTGCTATTGCTCCTGCAAGCATGATTTTAAGTCATCAATGCCTTCACTGAAGGAAAAAGACATGAAAGGACAAGATTGCTACAAACCACTTTATTTCACAAATAAGTCAACAGAATATCTATCAGTGCAGCCATGTCTTGCACGGCCAACAAGATTTTTTAAGGGGATGCAGTGTTTTGTTTCTGTCAAGTATATCTATAATGTGTTACATTATGCTGAATTTATTAATGTAAAAATACTTGTTTGTAGAATCTGAAAGCAACTGAGGAGAGGTATTAAAGTGAGGCTGTGATTCTATTTTAAACTAAAAATTTAGCACTTGTTTTCTATTAAATGTCAGGGTCAATTATGTATCAGAGTCTTCAACACTACCTTTCTGCCAAAGAATGAATCATAATTTAAGTGTTCTATAATGATCCTTCAGGAGAAGAGCCACTTTCAGACCCATGTAAAGCTCCCTCCCTTTGCAGCAAAGTTAAAAAGGACACCTGTAAGGATCTGAGTGTTAGCGCAGGAGCTGAAGTAAATTACAGTTGGTATTAATTGAATTATATGTTAATTGTTTTGCTGCTTCAGATCACTTCAGATTAACTGGACATCACCAGGACAACCAAATGGCATTGTTTTAGGATATGAGCTATTGCGTAAAGCTCAGCATACCTGCCCTGAGTCAAAGCAACTGTCAAAACATCAAAGTGAAGGAACTTGCCTGCTCTTGGAATGCAACATTCATGAAAACATACATGGAAGACGATGCAGTAATCCCCAGTTTAAGGTAACACTATGTAATATGCTGGCTTTAACTTCCTCCTCCTCCCCCACTCCTCCTCCTCCTCCTCCTCCTCCTCCTCTTCTTCCTCCTCCCCCTCCTTCCCCCACTCCTCCTCCTCCTCCTCCTCCTCCTCTTCTTCTTCTTCTTCGTCCATATCCATCATCGGACATTGGCAATATTGTTGGCGATCCTATTTTTATCAACAGCCGCACAAAAAAGTGCTGTTGAGTTTTGTCCAAACCAGTCCCTTAGTTTTTGAAGCCATGATGTTGCTCTTCTGCCTGGACCTCGTTTGCCTTCAATCTTTCCTTTCCTTGGAGAATTGTGAAGTATGCCATATTTTTCTGGATGTCACATCACATGTCTGAAATAGTCTAACTTTCGCTTTTTTATGATTCTGACTTTTATGGCTTTCCCAGGCGGCTTTCACCTCCTCATTTCTGATTTTATCAACCCAACTTACAGTATATGTAACAGCCGCCTGTAAATCCACATTTCAGATGCTTCTAGTCTCTTCAAGTGACTTTCTGTCAGAGACCAACTCTCTACTCTGTAGAGCAGGACAGAAAAGAGGTAGCATCTGACAAGCCTCAATTTTAGGTTTATGTCGTGACTACAGAAGACCATTTTCATTTTGAAGAATGCTGTTCGAGCTTTCTGTAGCCTTGTTTTTACATATACTGTACATGTCATGTTTAACCCCTCCCCCAATTAAACTACAGGTAGTCCTCAATTTACAATAACTCATTTAGTGACCAAAGATACATCATTGAAAAGAGGGACTTGTACCATTTTTCACATGACAATTCCAGCATCTCCATGGTCATGTGATCAAAATTCAGATGCTTGGCAACTGGGTAATATTTATGACGGTTGCAGTGTCCCAGAGTTCTGGGATCTCCTTTTGTGACCCTCTGATAAGCAAAGTCAGGGGGAAAGACTGATTCTCTTAATTACTATGGTACTTAATTTAGTAACTGAAGTGATTCACTATTATTAACTATGGCAAGAAAAATTGTAAAATGAGGCAAAACTCCCTTAGCAAATGTTTCACTTAGCAACAAAAATGTTGGGCTCAATTGTGGTAATAAGTTAAAGATTACCTATCTAAAGGATCATCCACTTCTATATGAGCTTCTGCATACACATTTCCTGAAGCTGTACTAAAAATGCTTTTCCAGTCAAAAAGAAAATAATATACTGATTCAAACCAATATTTTCTACCTA